TGTGGGCTGGTAAACCTCCCAGGATACGGAAATCAGTTTTGCAATCTCCTAAGGATAGAGGGGGGTTTTCCCTACCAATTTTCAGACATTATTACTGGGCAGTTAATGTACAGAAGCTTTTGTTTTGGATGTCTGAGGACGATGACCTGTTGCCCGGTTGGGTGCATTTAAAAAATAAATTATCTCCGTTTTCATTACGCTCCGTTCTATGCTCCCAACTTCCACTCCCACTCTCTCCTTTATCAAATTGCCCTGTAGTATCAGCCTCTTTAAAGATCTGGAACCAGTTTAGGAAAAAAAATTGGGCTTTCAGGCCCCTCTGCCCTGACTCCCATGCACAGGAACTGTGTGTTTGAACCCTCTAGAACTGATCCAGCATTCCGTGTCTGGCACGACAATGGTATTAAGTCTATCAGCATTCTTTACAAGGATGGAGTATTTTCCTCATTTGAACATCTCTTGACCGAATATAGTCTCCCGCGTAATCATCTTTTTCGCTTCTTTCAGATAAGAAACTTTGTCAAAAAGCTGTTTCCACATTTCCCGAATCGTCCTCCAGAGACTTTTTTAGATACACTCCTCTCTACTAATCCTGTTGCGAGGGGATGCATTTCAGCTTTATATAAAGCTATTTGGTTGGAATCTTCTGTCTCGCTTAACGCAATCAAAAGGGTCTGGGAGGAGAGTCTTGACGTTAAGTTTAGTGAGCAACAGTGGACTTCTGCTTTGTCCCTTATTCACTCCTCCTCCATTTGTGCTCGTCACCGACTGATTCAGTGTAAGGTTTTTTTTAGGGTTCACTATACTAATGCTAGGCTGTCCAGGATCTATCCCTCAGTTAGTGATGCCTGCAACAGATGCAAAGTGTCTCCGGCAAATCATGTTCACATGTTCTGGTCGTGCTCAAAGCTTGGGCCTTTTTGGGCCTATGTCTTTGACACACTCTCTAGGGCCTATCGCAATAACATCGCTCCAAATCCTTTGTCTGCAATTTTTGGCATTCCTCCCATTTCTAGTTGTCCTAAACCTCTTAGTCGTGCCTTGGCGTTCACAACACTGTTAGCCCGCAGGTTGATTCTACTAAATTGGAAGCTTCCCCATCCCCCTTCACATATCAGCTGGGTCCGTGAGGTCCTCTATAATTTAAAATTGGAGAAGCTGAGGTCATCTCTTAATGTAACATTTAACAATGTCTGGGGTCCATTTTTGCTACATATTGACCCTTCAAATTTCCCTTTCGAGCTGGAAGGTGATTGATTGGATTCTAGTTTACGTACAGTACTTCTTTGAAATACTAACCTTACTTTTTCTTTTCTTTTTTGTGTTATGTGTATATTCATTTTCCTTCACCGGTACACCTTCTCCACCGACTCCCACTGATGACTGCTGTCGTTGTGTCCTTGGGCAAGACACTTAACCCCACTTTGCCCAAAGCCCCCGCTGAAAGATCAAGGCTATGCTCACACTCAGAGAACAGCCGCCCTCCTGTGGACTCACCACCTACAGAGGGTCAGTGAGGGGCTGGTGCTATGAGACTTGGCATCTCTGATTGCCACCCCCCTGACCCAGAAATGGATTAAAGGGTAGAAAATGGATGGATGGATGGATGGATGCTTGCACAGTGCTCCTTGAGATGTTTAAAGCTTGGGAAATCTTTTTGTATCCAAATCCGGCTTTAAACTTCTCCACAACAGTATCTCGGACCTGCCTGGTGTGTTCCTTTGTCTTCATGGTTCTCTCTGTGCTTTAAACAGAACCCTGAAACTATCAAAGAGCAGGTGCATTTATACGGAAAAAACTGAAAAGTGGGCGTGCAATAATATTCGGCCCCTTTACTCACAATTCGGCAAACTCACTCCAGAAGTTCAGTGAGGATCTTTGAATTATCCAATGTTGTCCTAAATTACTGATAAATAGAATGCACCTGTGAGTAAAGGGGCCGAATATTATTGCACGCCCACTTTTCAGTTTTTTATTTGTTAAAAAAGTTAAAATTATCCAATAAATGTCGTTCCACTTCACGATTGTGTCCCACTTGTTGTTGATTCATGACAAAAATTGTCCTATGGACAAACATATATCTTTATGTTTGAAGCCTGAAATGTGGCGAAATGTTGAAAGGGGCAAGGGTGCCGAATACTTTCCAAAGGCACTGTAATAATAGTATTAATCAGCCACAAGCCTTCAGGTCACAGCAGCAAAGATGGAGTGGTCTCTGGGTGGAGCAGGACGGGTCACTGTAGCAGAGGTGGAGTAGCCACTGGGTGAAGCAGGACGGGTCACAACAGCGGAGGTGGAGCAGCCACTGGGTGGGGTAGGACAGGTCACAGCAGCAGAGATGGAGTAGCCTCTAGATGGAGCAGGACGGGTCACAGCCGCAGAGGTGGAGTAGCTGCTGGGTGGAGCAGGACGGATCACAGCAGCAAAGATGAAGTAGCCTCTGGATGGAGCACGACGGGTCACAGCAGTAGAGGTGGAATAGCCATAGGTGGGGTAGGAAAGGTCACAGCAGCAGAGATGGAGTAGCCTCTGGATGGAGCAGGACGGGTTATAGCAGTAGAGGTGGAGTAAACGCTGGGTGGAGCAGGACGGGTCACAGCAGCAGAGATGAAGTAGCCTCTGGATAGAGCAGGACGGGTCACAGCAGTAGAGGTGGAGTAGCCGCTGGGGAAAAGAATGCCAAGGTTTCCGCCAGAAAAAAGTATGCAAAGGTTTCCACCAGATAATTATTTAAGTGTTGTCGCCCTTCATGTTGCACTTACTGGTGGGCCAGTGGTAAATTTGCGGCCGGAGTTCAATTCCCGGTTAGAATGTGAATTTACGTCCCCACCCAAATCTGAAGCCAAACCTACGCTATTGCTCATAGTACTACACTATACTCTAGATCCAGTTTCTTGCATGTATTTTCTTCCTAACCTAACCTAGTTTTACCTAAACCTGATTATTTCAAACAATTTGAGCCAATGACACGAATTGTAGCACTTGTAAGTGTTTTAGAATGCTGGTGAGCTTCAATAACGAAGCCAGATAGTCAGTGTGGGTCAAACCGCCCTGTGGCAGCTTTTATTTACAATATATAAATATATCCATTTAAAAACAGTAAATGGAACTGTTGACTTAATGCAGGGAAACTTGAAGCTGGAGTGAGGGGCAGTCTATACAGTATATGAAAAAAACACAAAGGTAAACATAAAGGAATCCATCCCCACAACAGAAATCACAATATATACACATGGGCCACCGCCACCAAAATCCAGTAAGGCCATCGCTTAAAGTAAACCTTGTCACCCCAGCTGTCAATAAAGGTAAACGACAACCAGTATTGGGCCTATGAAGAGAACCCAGTGCAATTAATAAAAAGTGCAATAATATACAAACAAGATTTACAAAAGCAGAGTCTGATGTGAACAGGCTGGCTCAGGAAGAGCAAGTGAGCCTGGATTCCCTGTCTTTTAAAGACTTGGTCATGGAACCATGGCCACGCTTACTGTACACCTGCCAAAAATGAAAGACAAAATAATAATACATAATTCACTAAACTTAACCCCCTTAAAAAGACAATAATTTTTTGTCATAATAAATATTTGTTTGCCACAAACCTGAAAATAAACAAAGCACTGCTCTAGAAGAGATCTGCATGGAGGAATGTGAAACCATATGTGAAAACCTTGTCAAGACTTTCAGAAAACGTCTGACCTCTGTTCTTGCCAACAAAGGATAGTATTGAAATAATAATGGCCTTTTGTTATTGACTAAATACTCATTTCCACATAATTTGCCTGCATCATTTTCTGGATTGTTCTTTCTCATTGTTTGTCTCTCACTCGAGCTTTACCTATGATTAAAGATAGACATAGTGCATATTGACATATCGGGCCGGTATCTGAACACTGTTATTTTATGTTTTGATCTGAAGGACAGTTGAGTCTATTTTCCACATTAGAGATAAGCCTCCTTCTGATACATTTGTGAAGACATGATCCAAATCCTCTGTTTTGAATTAAATAATACATCATTTTGGAACTTTGAAGGACATAAGCCATATTTTGTCATTGTTTGCAGTTGAACCTTGTGATTGCACCACATGACTTCAGCTTTTTTCATTTATCAGACTCTGTGTGTGCTATTAGAACTGCTGTGGCAATTTTTAGAACAGGAGACTAAATAAAAGACATTTATGATAATGTTACAGATTCTTAGTTTTACCTACACTAAAGTGCCCACTCTGAGTTGGTAAAAAGCTACTTTATCAATTGATGTGTGCTCTTTACAAACATGGTCACTTGTAAAACTGCACTTACATTGTTCTGGACAATGAAATGTGTTATTGTTACTTCTCATTTTAAAATATAAGACCTTCTGTGGGACCAAAGGCATTTAATCAGCCTTCACACACTGCTGGTAATTGAAATGCCTGGGTGACGCGTTTGGGATCATTGTTGAAAGACAATGACATGCTTACACATGTACCACTCTGATATTTCAAATATTCTCATAATTGGACAAAAGTAATTCAGTAATCTCAGAATATTGTATTAGTATTCATATTGCCTTTTGGCCATAACAAAAAAAAAAATCTTGGACTATACTCTTGCGCTGATTGACGCAATAAATAGAATATAATGATGAATGGAATTCACTGTCATAATCTAAAATATATTAGAATATAGTCATGATTCTAAAATACAATATTACACTATATAAACAAATATAACACATAAAGAAGTACATAATTGTCAAGAACTACCGTTTGCTTTCTATAGAAAAAAACATAACCAAAAACACATGATACAACTATTTATTATAAAAAGGTTTCAGAAAGGTTCTTATAAAAAAGTAACAAATAAAACTAAATAACATTGTTTTTTCCAACAAACTAATAAGAAGTGTGACAGCTTTGCCAAAGGCTTTGTGACCTACAGAAACAAGTCTACAAGTGCAGTAGCTCTATGAAGACATGAAGGAACCGGGCCGGTCCCTCTTCAGTCAGGGCTGTTCCCTCAGTGCATCTTGTAGTGTTGGATCGGTCTTGTAGGCACAGTGGTCAGCAGCTGCTTCTCAAACACAAATGTCTGAATGCGGCGGAACACCCAGAGGAAGATCAGCAACACGCTCACATACTGGATCCAGGCAAACTTGATGGTCTCCCAGAAGCCGGGCCGGTATCTGAACACTGTTAAAGCCAACTCCATAACTTCTCCATAAACTCCACCTTCACAATCCTCTGCCTTCTGCTTTACCATCATCCTCCTCATTCACTCACTCACTGACTGGTTAGAAAACCTTGCTACACTGCAGTGCAAAATTACCATACATATTGAACTTCTGCACATTCTGTCAAGTTATAACCACAAACATAAATATTTTATCGTAAATAACAGACAACTGTGATGTGAAGAGCCACAATCCATTATAAAGAACTGAATCTAGATCTAAGTCTAAATCTAAGTTCTGGTCCAAGTCGTGGTCAGAGTTGTGGTCCTGGTCTGCAACAGAGTCCTGGACTGCAACAGTGTCCTAGGCTGCAACAGAGTCCTGGGCTGCAACAGAGTCCTGGGTGGCATCAGAGTCCTGGGTGGCATCAGAGTCCTGGGCTGGACAGAGTTCTGATCTAGGTTTGAGTCCTGGTCTGGGCCCTGGTCTGAGTCCTTTCATTTCATTTCATTTTCATTTCATCCATCCATCCATCCATCCCAAGGACACAACGACAGCAGTCATCAGTGGGAGTTGTGAAGTAGGTCTTGAGGTGGGCTCGAACCCACGACCTTCAGGCTCAAAGGCCAAAGACCAACTGAGCTACTGTCGCCCCATTTTTTTCATTTCATTTCATTTTCAACCCCTTTGTCCATATCTGGGTCGGGGGGGTGGCAATGAGAGCTGCCACCCAACGCTCATAGCACCAGTCCCTCGCTGATCTTCTGCAGGGGGTGAGTCCACAGGAAGATGGCTGCTCCGTCAATTGTGAAACAGCCTTGATCTTTCAGCAGGGGGCTTCAGGCAATGTGGGGTTAAGTGTCTTGCCCAAGGACACAACGACAGCAGTCATCAGTGGGAGCAGTTGGAGTAGGTCCCATGGTGGGAATCGAACTCACGACCTCCAGGCCCAAAGGCCAATGCTCTACCAACTGAGCTACTGTCGCCCCTGGTCTGAGTCCTATTCTGGGAAAACCTGCTTCAATGACATCACCAATGAAGAATTCACCAGTACTTATTTGGTTCGCTCCAAGTGAACTCTGGTTCACTCGTGAAGTGTGAACGCAGCCTTAGGCTGAGTTTACACGGAGACAATGTGGCAGTAAAACGGTATAGTTGGATATCGGTTGCTACCAAGACTGTGTTCCAGGGGGGTGAAAACGTAAGTGTTCAGATCCAGCCTGCAGAGTGGGACAACTCAGATACGCTGCACAGCAGGGAGCTTTTTCACACCCGCGAGAGGGGAAAAGGTGTGAAATCCCCCTCTGCTCTAACCCCGCCTCCGCGCTGCTCCCGCACGTAAATTTGGACATGCGCAGTAGCGGAGAACAAACATCAACAATAATGGCGCCGCCCACACAAACTAGCTACGTGGGCTTCCAGCGCGGGACAGAGGATAATTCTACTCCTTCGTTCGTCCAAACGAGACCACGCGAAGCTCTAGGTTCAGTTCCCATGTTCACAGCGGCTGTTAAAATGCTGAATGATGTTGGTACTCTCTGAGGGTCTGGCACAGGAAGTGAGTATACTGCCGAGAGGGGGGCTGGGCACGGGGCTGGGGGTCGTGTGAGTGTTGTAAAGTTCCTCTGCCCCCTACTGGCCGGGCGCTAGAACTACATCGTTTTTCAACCTCATGTGAACACTGAGAAATTTGCATTAGGAGCCTGGTCGTTTCTGTTAATAGCCTGGAAACGTCTGCGCAGCGTCTCAGTATAAACAGGGCCTTAGTCTTGGGTTTCAAAGTGTCTGGAGCTGTCAAAATGTAAATGAAGGATACGAAACGGTCTCTGTAGAGTAGTAGATCTCTGCGCTGAGCTCAAAAGGGGCACTGGACCCTCGTCCTGTTGTCCACACAATCAAGGGAGAGGCCAGGACTGTGGTCACTGCAGCAGAGGGATAGAAGTGAGTAATTCTACAGGCATGACATCATAGTTCTTATTTTGAGTAAAGTACTACTCAGGATTGCAGAAATAAATACAGTTACACTGCCCCACATTCTACTGTAGTAAAGACACACCGTCAGACTGTAGTGAGAGTACTAGTGATGGCAATATGAAGCCTCATACGAGGCATCACAGCCCACTGCTCGAAACATGGTTCAAAGCTTCAAGGTGATAATTTTTTTCCACTATACCATCATGTGTCCAATAAAAGACTGAATGTTTCCAGAGTGCATTGTGAAGGATTCGGAGATGCCATGTGTGTGAATGATGCTATACGTTTTGATACTTAACGATTTCTCTGCTGGTATTTTCGGAGGATTTTCCCAAACTCATAGTCACTGGCAAATGGGCTGGAGCTGTCAATCACTGAGACCTGTGAGGCAAAGACCATCCCACAGTAAGTTATTGTAAAGACATTGTGAAGCATTGTGTGTACACACATTGTAGACGTTGTGGAGGCCACGGTGGGGCAGGGGGGCTCTCTGCTGCAGCCTCAGGTCTCCACTGAGGAAAAGGCGGGCCCCAGGGACTGCAGATGAGCTGTGAACATAGACCAGACTCTGCATGGCCACAGTCGACATGCGCTACACACACACACACACACAATAAATGAGTGAAAATAACTTTCATTATTTCAGTGACACAATAGTGCTGAAATGTAAAAGCAGGGATGAAGAGAGCGGTGTTAAAAACGCAGTGGAAAGAGAAAGGCGCATAGTGGAAAAGGTGAGGTGTTTATTTAGGCTGAGTTTACACGGAGACAATGTGGCAGTAAAACGGTATAGTTGGATGTCGGTTGCTACCAAGCGTTCATACGAAGACTGTGTTCCAGGGGGGTGAAAACGTACGAGTTCAGATCCAGCCTGCAGAGTGGGACAACTCAGAAACGCTGCACAGCGGGGGCTCTTTCACACCCGCGAGAGGGGAAAAGGTGTGAAATCCCCCTCTGCTCTGACCCCCACCTCCTGCTGCTCCCCGCACGTACATTTGGACATGCGCAGTAGCGGAGATCAAACCAAAACAAAGATGGCGCCGCGCACACTAACTAGCTACGTGGGCTTCCAGCGCGGCACAGAGGATAATTCTACTCCTTCGTTTGTCCAAACGAGACCACGCGAAGCTCTAGATTCAGTTCCCATGTTCACAGCTGCTGTTAAAATGCAGAATGATGTTGGTACGTTCTGAGGGTCTGGCACAGGAAGTGAGTACACTGCAGAGAGGGGGGCTGGGCACGGGGCTCGGGGTCGTGTGTCGTGTTGTAAAGTTTCTCTGCCCACTACTGGCCGGGCGCTAGAACTACATCGTTTTTCAACCTCATGTGAACGCTGAGAAATTTGCATTAGGAGCCAGGTCGTTTCTGTTAATAGCCTGGAAACGTCTGCGCAGCGTCTCAGTATAAACAGGGCCTTAGAGCAGTGGTTCTCAAAGTGTGGTACGCGTACCACTCCAGTGGTACACCAAAAAATAAATCACTGAAATTTTTCTTTCTTTTTTAAAATTTAACCAGGATATTTCCATTTAGATTACGAACTTCTTTTTCAAGGGATTTATGGACAAAAATTACATATAATTACAGATTATAAAACAGTCACATACAATTTCATAAAAATACGAATTATAAAAACAGATACATATCAATGAGGATGTCTCAAGTGCTCTCAATCTGGATCTAACAGCATTCAATGAAATAAGTTCAGATAATTTCCGGTCTTTTTGCAACACGTTCCATGTAGAAGGAGCAGCAAATACAAAAGCTCTTTTTTCCAGTGCTGTGCAGGCAAAAGGAACAGAGAGCAACAAAAGATCATTTGACTATAACTATATGAACAAACATCTCTTTGTGTGAGTAAATGGCAGATGTAAAGGTGTTTTCATACCGCCAACGCTGGAACGCTGACGACTCGCGCACCAGACGCACATTCACTAATTTTCAGACGCAGGGGTCTTCAGACCAGAAGTCCTGGTCTGTGGTGGCGCCCGCCAGAAGTAGCGGGCAGACTTTGATGCTAACTTTGTTAGCATCAAAACTCTGTTCGCTTTTTGTGTAAAGTTCTTCTCTAATAATGCAGCTCTGCAGCGTCTCTGTGTCCAGAGACCTTCCAGAGACTTTAAATAACAGCAGTATATGTTCACGGAGGTGCGGCATACGTTTATTTTATTATTAAACGGTACTTCCGCATCGGCAAACAAGCTCGAAGCAGTTGCATAAAGTCACGGGAGCATTAAAACACATACAGTATGTTCACAAGCACTACAGTGCCTTGCGAAAGTATTCGGCCCCCTTGAACCTTTCAACATTTCGCCACATTTCAGGCTTCAAACATAAAGATATAAAATTTTATTTTTTTTGTCATGAATCAACAACAAGTGGGACACAATCGTGAAGTGGAATGAAATTTGTTGGATAATTTAAACTTTAACAAATAAAAAACTGAAAAGTGGGCCGTGCAATATTATTCGGCCCCTTTACTTTCAGTGCAGCAAACTCACTCCAGAAGTTCAGTGAGGATCTTTGAATCATCCAATGTTGTCCTAAATGACTGATAATGATAAATAGAATGCACCTGTGTGTAATCAAGTCTCCGTATAAATGCACCTGCTCTTTGATAGTCTCAGGGTTCTGTTTAAAGCGCAGAGAGAACCATGAAGACAAAGGAACACACCAGGCAGGTCCGAGATACTGTTGTGGAGAACTTTAAAGCCGGATTTGGATACAAAAAGATTTCCCAAGCTTTAAACATCTCAAGGCGGACTGTGCAAGCAATTATATTGAAATGGAAGGAGTATCAGACCACTTTTTAAAGTTTAAATTATCCAATAGATTTCGTTACACTTCACGATTGTGTCCCACTTGTTGTTGATTCATGACAAAAAATTATAATTTTATATCTTTATGTTTGAAGACTGAAATGTGGCAAAATGTTGAAAGGTTCAAGGGGGCCGAATACTTTCGCAAGGCACTGTATGTCCCCCATTGTCAACCCTGGTTTAGTCCTGATGTAGCTCCTGTTTTGGCTGTTTACGAGTATGTTCAGTCTGCTCGCTCAGACCAATTATGTCCCGTGACCACTTTGCAGCTCTCTGATTGGTCCCGAGCGTCCCGAGGAAACGCTAAGCAATATTTATCTCCTGCGTGCGTCAATTTTCCGCTCCTCAGCAGGTAGAGGCGGCTCTGGCCCTACTTCTGCGTCTGTGTTATGAGTCCAGGCCAGTTTGTGGTTCAGATGAACACCCAGGTACTTGTAAGAGTCCACTCTCTCAATGTCCTTTCCCTGGATGTTCACTGGAGCTGGAACGGCAGAGTGACGTCTGCGGAAATCCACCACCATCTCCTTGGTCTTCCCCGCGTTGATGAGGAGGTGGTTCCGCTGACACCAGTCCACAAAGTTCTGTATAACTCCTCTGTACTCTGTGTCATCGTCCTCGGAGCTGAGTCCGATGATGGAAGAGTCGTTGGAGAACTTCTGGAGGACACAACCGCCGTGTTGTGTCTGAAGTCCGCAGTGTAGAGGGTGAAGAGGAACGGCGCAAGGACAGTTCCCTGGGGGGGCCCCCACACTGCAGGTCAGGACCTCAGACACGCAGTCCCTGGTTCTCACAAACTGGGGTCTGTCTGTGAGGTAGTCCAGGATCCACTGGGACAGGTCGTAGTCCACACCGGCTGTCTCCATCTTGTCCCTGCATGCTACTGCATGTAACGTCTGGGTCTGGTCCCTGTGTTAGCGATTACAATCGGTTGAATTTTGACCGACCATTCAGAGAGCGTGGAAGGCAGGTGTTGTAGTTAGTTGTGGGTGATGTCAAGAGTTTGCGTTGAACTGGCAGGTTGTAGTTTGGTAATGGCGAAAAATGCGATAGTAAAGTAATCCGGTCTGGTTCTATCAAGAAATTGAAGCTGGAGCAAGAGGAATGTTTAGCAAATGTAATCGCTGCAAAGATTGTTGTACTTCCCACGGGCTCCGTTAGCGGCAAAGGGGATGGCTAAAGCTAGGCTAAATGCTAACAACAGACTCGGGCGCATTGCATACGTCAAGGTAAACTCAGATCCAATCGTTTCAATCTACAAAAGGAGTTAACCCCTCCCACCTGTAAACGGAGCTCAATGGAGCACCTCCAGACCTTAGTACGAAATGTCATTTGTACTATGGTGTGGTACGACCAGGCTAACTCAACGCATGATGTGAAAGCACCATAAGAGGGCAGCAGACCAAGCATAGCCTTTAAACAAAAGTCCACCAGTGTCCAAACCTTCTGGTGGACAAAGAAGGCCATCCCACTCCAGAATATCATTCACAGCGGTGAGTCAAGGCTTTGCAGTTTGTAATGAATTGAACATTTTAATTAGGTCATTATTTAAGTACAGTATTTTGTTTTTTTTCCTACATTTAAGTCTTACTGTTGAAACTGTAAAATGTTACAATGCCTGACAATATTAAATATAATAATAATAATAATAATGCATCGGTTTTATATAGCGCTTTTTTGGACACTCAAAGACGCTTCACATGTGTCATTATTCATTCACTCCATACACAGTGGTGATAAACTACTGCTGCAGCCACAGCTGCCCTGGGGCACACTGACAGAGGCGAGGCAACCAGTATGCGCCATCAGCCCCTCCGACCACCACCAACCATTCATACACACACCAGACTCATTCTAGGCAATGGGGGTGAAGTGTCTTGCCTAAGAACACAACGGCAGTTTGGCACTTTACAGCCGCAGCCGCCCAACTGTGGCTGGTGTTCCCAGAGGTTAAGTGTCTTGCCAAGGACACAACGACAGTAGTCAGTGGGAGTTGATGGTGAAGGTCTTGAGCGGGGCTTGAACCCACGACCTCAAAGGCCAACGCTCCACCAACTGAGCTACTGCCGCCCCTATATATATACTTATTTAGGAATGAAACTTGCCTTGTTTTTGATGAATACTTAGGCTTACTTCGCTACTGTATAGTGTTGGTCATTTGTGGTGGTACTTTGAGAGGCAAGTGAGGTGGTACTTGGTGTGAAAAGTTTGAGAACCACTGGTTTAAAGCTTTACTAAGAGACGAGACAAGCGGGGGCAGGAGTATTTATGTTTGACTCTGATTGGGGGAGCGGGGGCCTGCAGGTCTCCCTGGACACTAGCGCACACAGCACAGGCCTAAACATCTTTTAGGACACCTTATAGATAAAACTATACTTTTATTGGCATCATAAAGCAATAATATGATACAAAATGCATGCCCTGTTTTTTTCTAACTTTATTTAAAACCTCTTCCATTTTAAATCTTGGTTTTAAAGTCATTTCTATGCAAAATAGCAAAAAAGAGAAAATATTTCTGGTGCAAGTGGATGGAGTAGTTGGCACATGTGCAGTATTAGTTCTTACAAAGAGCTGGTAGCTGAATGTAAGCAGCAGCTGCAGGCTGTAGATCTGCTCTTCTGGCCTCAGGGGCAGCTGCATCTCAAACTGCAGAACATCCAGTTTTCCATCCTGGTTTTGATCCTGCTCCCTCACCTGTAAAACACACATGTTTTTTTGTGTTAATACAAAGCTAACCGCAGGTGTGGGCAATCATTTTCAGCCAAAAAAAAAAATGAAATAAGCTGTATGTCATCCGAGGGCTGCAGTTTTCCTTTGTCCTAAACAACATGAAGCAAAGCAGCACAAATAATAGACACATGTTTTAGACCAGCCATTCCCAAACTCAGTAACACCGAGGCCCCCTTAAAAATCTGACGGGTCTGTGTGGCCCCCCCAAAATAATAACCAAGAAGACAACATTAAGAATAGGCTCTTCTGGTTATTTTATTTTGGGGAAATAGCCTCTGCTACAAACATTGTAATACAAAAATGATTACAGTGGATTATTCAAGTCAAATAATGAACACAAATATTTTAATATTACAAACAAAACATTATAAATTTAACATTAAATAATAATATTATTTTTTAATTTTTTTTATGACCTCCCGCGGCCCCCCTGCAGTACCCTCGCGGCCCACCAGGGGGCCGCGGACCCCACTTTGGGAGACACTGTTTTAGACCATAGAGCGAGAGCAACGAAGAGAGATTTTTTGTAATGTACAGTGCCTTGCGAAAGTATTCGGCCCCCTTGAACCTTTCGCCACATTTCAGGCTTCAAACATAAAGATATAAACATTATTTTTTTTGTCAAGAATCAACAACAAGTGGGACACAATCGTGAACGAAATTTATTGGATAATTTTAGCTTTTTTTAACAAACAAAAAACTGAAAAGTGGGGCGTGCAATATTATTCGGCCCCCTTGCGCTAATACTTTGTAGCGCCACCTTTTGCTGCAATTACAGCTGCAAGTCGCTTGGAGTATGTCTCTATCAGTTTTGCACATCGAGAGACTGGAATTCCTGCCCATTCTTCCTTGCAAAACAGCTCGAGCTCAGTGAGGTTGGATGGAGAGCGTTTGTGAACAGCAGTCTTCAGCTCTTTCCACAGATTCTCGATTGGATTCAGGTCTGGACTTTGACTTGGCCACTCTAACACCTGGATACGTCTATTTGTGAACCATTCCATTGTAGATTTGGCTTTATGTTTTGGATCATTGTCCTGCTGGAAGATAAATCTCCGTCCCAGTCTCAGATCTTTTGCAGACTCCAACAGGTTTTCTTCCAGAATGGTCCTGTATTTTGGCTCCATCCATCTTCCCGTCAATTTTAGCCATCTTCCCTGTCCCTGCTGAAGAAAAGCAGGCCCAAACCATGATGCTGCCACCACCATGTTTGACAGTGGGGATAGTGTGTTCAGGGTGATGAGCTGTGTTGCTTTTACGCCAAACATCGTCTGCAAATCGTTTTGCAGTGTGGCCAAAAAGTACGATTTTGGTTTCATCTGACCAGAGCACGTTCTTCCACATGTTTGGTGTGTCTCCCAGGTGGCATGTGGCAAACTTTAAACGAGACTTTTTATGGATATCTTTGAGAAATGGCTTTCTTCTTGCCACTCTTCCATAAAGGCCAGATTTGTGCAGTGCACGACTGATTGTTGTCCTATGGACAGACTCTCCCACCTCAGCTGTAGTTATCTGCAGTTCATCCAAAGTGATCATGGGCCTCTTGGCTGCATCTCTGATCAGTCTTCTCCTTGTTTGAGATGAAAGTTTGGAGGGACGGCCGGGTCTTGGTAGATTTGCAGTGGTCTGATACTCCTTCCATTTCAATATAATTGCTTGCACAGTGCTCCTTGAGATGTTTAAAGCTTGGGATACTTTTTGTATCCAAATACGGCTTTAAACTTCTCCACAACAGTATCTCGGACCTGCCTGGTGTGTTCCTTTGTCTTCATGGTTCTCTCTGTGCTTTAAACAGAACCCTGAGACTATCAAAGAGCAGGTGCATTTATACGGAGACTTGATTACACACAGGTGCATTCTATTTATCATCATCAGTTATTTAGGACAACATTGGATCATTCAAAGATCCTCACTGTACTTCTGGAGTGAGTTTGCTGCGCTGAAAGTAAAGGGGCCGAATAATATTGCAAGCCTCACTTTTCAGTTTTTTATTTGTTAAAAAAGTTTAAATTATCCAATAAATTTCGTTCCACTTCACGATTGTGTCCCACTTGTTGTTGATTCATGAAGAAAATAAATTAATATTTTATATCTTTATGTTTGAAGCCTGAAATGTGGGGAAATGTTGAAAGGTTCAAGGGGCCAAATACTTTCGCAAGGCACTGTAATAGAGGTTGTGTAATGTGTGTAATGTTGTAACGGCTATCATGCGATTTGTGCGTAAAGGCAGACCCAACGCTCTAGGAGCAAAAGCCAAAGGTCAGGCGCTGTCTTTTATGATCTCATATCCAAAACCTTGGCCACTTCATTATGGGTATGGTCACATAGGTTTTCACAAACAAACTTGGCCAAATGACCCAGATCGTCACCACAGGGGTTTGAAGACGGACCGCGGTCAGAAGGGTTTCTTTTTCAACTGTGCCAGCCCAAATGCGGTGCAGTACAATGCTCGGTCCAGCTGGTTGCGCTAATACTAACTTCAGAACCTACCTCACAAGCACAACCTAAAGCCCAGTTAAAGTGGGCCTAAATAAAAAATAGTTTTGAAACTTGGGTAACACTTAATATTATGGTGCATGAGTTCTTGCATGATTCTCATGAACTAATGCATGAATTAATGCATTAGTTCATGATATATCCATGCATTACTAGATCATGAATTCTCATGAACTAACAGGATTACATGTTGGATGACTTAGCCCACTTAACCCATCCATGAATTAATGGTTGAACTACTGTAATGAATTTACATGAAAATCTTAAAGAATCATCATGATCATGATTTGATATGGGATTGTTACTCAACAAAGAAACTTTTTATTACTTCAGGTGCAGCACTGGAGGTCTTATTTGGTTATGCTGTACGTGTGAGAGTTTGTAAAATATCAAAAAATCATTGCTTCACTTTAGTTGAGGGGACACAATCATAATGAAATCATGATGTATTAAGCATTAGCAAATATAATGAAATCATGATGTATTAAGCATTAGCTAATGATAAGTTCATGATTGTGTCTTCATAATTTGCAAGTAGATTTCCGCCATATGACTCATTATGTTCATGCATGATCATGAGGATCATGATAGGTTGATGATTTCATTTAATTGCTTTTTCAGTAAATTCATGATATCATCATGATCAGAATCAGAATCAGAATCATTTTTATTGCCACGTAAGTAACAGGAAGTCACAGATTTGGAAATTGCTTTGGCTCAGTGCAACAGTCAGAAAGAGATAATAAAAATAACTTCTAAAGAATAAATTTAAATTTAAAGTAGAGTTACAGTTACTATTTACAATATACAAGTGCACATGGTGCACACAATGTAAGGTGACAGCAGTACAGTGAAGTAAAGTGACGTATGATGGGCAGTAAAGTGACTTTATAAAGGGCGGGGGGACAGGTTAAGTGTTCAAGAGTCCAACAGCAGAGGGTAAGAAACTGTTCTTGTGGCGGGAGGTTCTAGTCCTGATGGACCGCAGTCTCCTGCCTGAGGGGAGTGGTTAGAATAGTCCATGTGCAGGGTGAGAGGGGTCGGCTGTGATACGACCAGCCCGGCCTCGAGCTCGGGCAACGTACAGGTCCTGCAGCGATGGAAGGCTGCGGCCGATCACTTCCTCTGCAGAGCGCACAATGCGCCGTAGTCTCTGTTTGTCCCTGACTGTGGCTCCAGCGAACCACACGGTGATGGAGGAGGTGAGGATGGACGCAATGATGGCTTTCCTGAGCTGCCGCAGGAAGTACATCCTCTGTTGGGCCATCATGATGATTCTTTAAGATTTTCATGTAAATTCAATACAGTAGTTCAACCATTAATTCATGGATGAAGTCATCCATGAACCAACATGTAATCATGTTAGTTCATGAGAATTCATGATCTAGTAATGCATGAATGTACTGGAGAGGAGGCTACGGCCGATGGTCGAATCTCGGATCCAGGAGGAGCAGTGTGGTTTTCGTCCCGGTCGCGGAACACTGGACCAGCTCTATACACTCCATCGGATACTCGAGGGTTCATGGGAGTTCGCCCAACCTGTCCACATGTGCTTTGTGGATTTGGAGAAGGCGTTCGACTGTGTTCCCCGGGGTGTCCTTTGGGGGGTTCTCCAGGAGTACGGGGTCGGAGGTCCTCTGCTGAGGGCCATCCGATCCCTGTATGACCGGAGCCAGAGCTGTGTTCGCATTGCCGGCAGTAAGTCAGACCTGTTCCCGGTGAATGTTGGCCTCCGACAGGGCTGCCCTTTGTCACCGGTTCTGTTCACTGTATTTATGGACAGAATTTCTAGGCGCAGCCAGGGGTCGGAGGGGGTCCGGTTCGGAGACCACAGGATTTCATCTCTGCTGTTTGCGGACGATGTTGTCCTGTTGGCTCCAACGAACCAGGACCTGCAGCATGCACTGGGGCGGTTTGCAGCCGAGTGTGAAGCGGCTGGGATGAGAATCAGCACCTCCAAATCCAAGGCCATGGTGCTCGACAGGTGGGTGGAGAGGTCCTTCCTCAAGTGGAGGAGTTCAAGTATCTCGGGGTCTTGTTCACGAGTGAGGGAAGAATGGAGCGTGAGATTGACAGGCGGATCGGTGCAGCGTGCGCAGTGATGCGGTCGCTGTATCGGACCGTTGTGGTAAAGAGGGAGCTGAGCCGGAAGGCAAAGCTCTCGATTTACCGGTCAATCTTTGTTCCCTCCCTCACCTATGGTCATGAGCTTTGGGTAATGACCGAAAGAACGAGATCGCGGATACAAGCGGTCGAAATGAGCTTCCTCCGCAGAGTGGCTGGGCGCTCCCTTAGAGATAGGGTGAGGAGCTCGGTCACACGGGAGGAGCTCGGAGTAGAGCCGCTGCTTCTCCACGTCGAGAGGAACCAGTTGAGGTGGCCCGGGCATCTGTTCCGGGCACGTCCCACCGGGAGGAGGCCCCGCGGAAGACCTAGGACACGCTGGAGGGACTATGTCTCTCAGCTGGCCTGGGAACGCCTTGGGGTCCCCCCGGATGAGCTGGAGGAAGTGTGTGTGGATAGGGAAGTCTGGGCGTCTCTGCTTAGACTGCTGCCCCCGCGACCCGGCAACGGATAAAGCGGAAGAAAATGGATGGATGGATGGATGGATGGATAATGCATGAATGTATCATGAACTAATGTATTAATTAGTTCATGAGAATCATGCATGAACTCATATACCATTAATATAAAGTGTTACCGAAACTCGAATATTGAGTGGAAACTCCCACTGATGTCTGCTGTCGTTGTGTCCTTGGGCAAGACACTTAACCCCACTTTGCCTGAAGCCCCCGCTGGAAGATCATGTGGACTCACCACCTGCAGGAGGATCAGTGAGGGGCTGGTGCTAAGTGTACTGGGTGCAGCTCTGACTGCCACCCCCCGACCCAGAAATGGATTAATGAAAAAAAAAAAAAATAGATCAACAAATATTTTTAAGGGCAAAGTCTGTCCTGCCCCTGAAAATTAATTTAAGATCGAAATCGTCCAAAGCAGGAAATCGCCCAGCCCTACGTTGTAGTTGGCAACTGTTCACAGCAGGAATTTGCCATTGTGGAATAAGTCCGAGCAGGGACCATGATCCATAATCCCACCTAAGGTAAAATTGCCTAGTTTTACATTTGAGTTTTTTTGTGTGTGTTACTCCATTCACTGTACTGTAAAGTATTCTGTAGTACAGTGATGTACAGTATTGAGTTTACATTATTTGTAACCTTTCAGTATTTTCTTGTTTGTTTTTTGAGGAAACTTGTGTTGAGAACAAAAACAGTGTTCCACTGAGCTTCACAGAAAACTGACTGATAAACAGAATAAAAACAGTGAACATGAAAGACTGCAGTATTTTAGTCGTCTAAGTAGTCTAGTATGTCACTTCCATTTTGAAAATTTCACATGATGCAAATGTGTATTGTTTTGTCATCAAATTTTAATTTTGACAAATGAATGTTTAGTTTTGATTGCAGAGATTAGGTTTTGATAGTTGAGTTTAATTTTGACACAGATGTGAATAGTAGAGGAATAGTAGGGGAATAGGGGTCGGCCACTCAAAAAGTTCAAAGAGCCATATTTGACCAAAAGTACAAAAAACAAATCTGTCTGGAGCCACGAAAACTTTACTGCCTTGTAAAAGGCTTCTATGAAAGCAACACAGGCTGTAAGCTGAATTAGCCTACTATCAAAATTAGTAGGTATAGGCTACAAATACATAATATGCATTCATGATTATTCTATGTATTTTCACTGTAGTGCAAGAGAATAACGCACCATGTGACTGCTCTATAATACAATATATGCTTTAAGTTAAACTTTCCTTTTGTTGCGTTCATGCAATTGTAAAAATGCAGTAAATAAATCCGCTTTTTGGCTCAGAGTTCACATACCTGCATTACAGCACTGTCTGTTCATATCAATCACGTCACATGTCGTCACAGGCTGGAGTTCACTGGAGCTGAACTAAAGTCCCGAACGGTGTTTAGCACTTCTGTTCCTCGTGTTGAAACAAAATTCAGTAGAAGTTTGGAGATGAATCCGCTCCAGAATAACTGCGATTGCACTGTTTCTCTCCAAACTGGGGTCAGCAGCCAATTTTCCACATGACTCTTTTTTTTCTTCAATATATATTCACATTACAAAGCAACCATGAAGCAGTCCTTCCTCATTGACAAAGAAAGCAAATGTTCCAGTCCACTCTTCCTTGATTTCCCGGTTCTTATCAACTCTTTCTCTTTTTAGCTTTGGGATTTACGCGGACTCATGTGGCACACAGCGGTTTGTTTACAACAGTGGCCCCCGGCGCTGTGCGTCCCAGGATATGACGCAAATCTCAGTTTACAGAAATGTTGAAATTGAATATTTCTTATGCACATTTTACTGCATTGGAAAACGTTAAGAATGTTGTTCCTCCTACAGAAACCACATTGAAACTAGAAATAAAATATACTCCTCCCACTCCATTTTCAGACATTTTTGTAGAGACTCCTGGAGCCACTCGAGGGGCACTAAAGAGCCGCATGCGGCTCCAGCGCCGCAGGTTGCCGATCCCTGGTATAGTATGTCCCAGTGTTGTGTCTTGTGTGTAGAGTTTTGAGAAATTTTGCAAAAGCAATAGGAAAAAAACTGGAATAAAACGGTATCTAAACACAAAAGTATTTATCCGATTAATTGAAAAATCAAAAGGCAATTCTTTAAGAAAATAATTGTTAGCTGCTCTAGGCATGAGGGGTGGAGCAAAGTTGGACAGATGCGGAAGTGGGCCGAGAGCATCATGCAGCATGGCCATGGGACAGACTGTGATGGACCTGGGACAGACTGTTATGGACATGGGAGGATAAGACTCACCGTCACTGAAGGGATGCGCAGTCGAGGCCCCAGCAGATGGTTGTAGTGTAGATATGTGCTCCAGCCCACGTAGTCTCCCTGAGCGCTGGTGCAGGCCATCAGCATCAGCTCATACTTGAACCGCACCACAGGCTGCTCCTCATACGAGCTCAGCTTCAGCCAGAACCCTACAGTTTAACAACATGTAAAACAGTATCTGTACTAGGTAGTAATATAGCAGCCCACACAGAATAAATATATCTATGGCTTTTTGTTGGTGCTGGGGTTAAGGTAGTAGGAATTTCACTTCTGTATCTGGCAACCCAACAGACATGTGAGGCATATTACACCAAATAATAACCAATGTTTGTCATTACTTTCTGGAGGTGTAAAGTCACCTGATCCCATAGAAATAAAAATATAACCATATTTTGGACAGTGTTGGAGAGAATACTGTGAAAATGTAGACACAATATTGAATACTTGGATTATCTTATTGCTCACTTGCAGAACAATATGTAACAATTTAAAAAAAATACTATATAGAAAAATCACACACAGAGCTTTAAGTGACATTTTTGTTGAAAATGTGTGATCAAAAACAGAAATGTATGCCTTCCATTTTGAAAGTAACCGTCTACAGAACACCACCAAAAGAGAACAGTGACTAATAATAATATTGTGGATTGTGTTCTGTTACTCCCAAAGACTGAGTATGGAGTCCTACAAATGCCACAGTGGAAGCTGAACAAGTCAGCTCTTGGAAAACATTTTCACTTTGAACATCGAGGCTTATACGAAGGTGCTGCTTCTTTTTTGGGGGGGGGGCGCCAAAAGCATTTTGTCAAGAAACAGTAGACCAACCAAATTGATGAGTCGTTCACAAAGGTAAGTAATCTTTATACCGCCTTTCACAGCCAGAGTTACAAAGCGGTTTATAATTGTGGGCATTTGTCTCTCACTCCAAAGAGAGAAGGGAGTGAGGTCGCGGGTACAGAAGGCGCCTATGCAGACACGGGGAGAACATGCAAACTCGACTCTAAAGGGCCCTGTCCTAGAGTGCTATCCACTCAGCCACCGTGCCGCTCAAAGGTTAAATTTTATTGTATGATGTGTCCTTTATACTCACCCTCATCAACATGGAGCATACTATAAGAAAAGCATTTGAGCAAGTAACGTGTGTGTGTGTTACTTATACACCGATAAGAGTTATAAGCACCGTTAGAGAAAAAGCATTTTTAATATGTATTTGTATGTTACCATCCATCCATTTTCTACCCTTTAATCCATTTCTGGGTCAGGGGGGTGACAGTCAGAGATGCCACCCAAGTCTCATAGCACCAGCCCCTCACTGACCCTCTGCAGGTGGTGAGTCCACAGGAGGACGGCTGCTCTCTGAGTGTGAGCATAGCCTTGATCTTTCAGTGGGGGCTTTGGGCAAAGTGGGGTTAAGTGTCTTGCCCAAGGACACAACGACAGCAGTCATCAGTGGGAGTCGGTGGAGAAGGTGCAGAGGTGGGAATTGAACCCACGACCTTCTGGGCTTAAGGCCAATGCTCTACCAACTGAGATACTGTCGTATGTTACCAAATAACAAAAAAAAAATATTATAGAAGTCCTCACTTATAATATCTTTGTGTAAAGATCTAATAATAAAGCATTATTTTGGTACTCGCAGCAAAGTATGCGGGTGAAGTGGGGCGGGTCAGTGTCAGACTCATTCAAGGTCAGCAATGGAGTTCGGCAGGGTAGTGTGATGTCCCCCCTGTTGTTTACCATCTATATGGACGATTTATCTGTACAGCTCAATCACTGTATTACTGGGTGTGTTGTGGGAGGCACAGTGATCAACCACCTCATGTATGCCGATGACCTGTTTGTGCTCAGTCCGTACAGTGCAGGACTTCAGCAGCTCCTCAAGATATGCCCCGAGTACAATCTTCAAAATGACATAAAATATAACTAGTAAAAGTTTCATCATGATTGAGAGGACGAAAAATGACATGAAATCTATTTCCTGAATTCTCCCTATGTGGTAATGCTCTAAATGTCAGTGAGGAGGTAAAGTACCTTGGGCATTACATATGCAGTGACCTCACAGACGACCGGGATATACACAGACAGAGATGTAAACTGTATGGCCAATCCAACATGCTGGTCAGGAAGCTTTACATGTGCTCTGTGAATGTTAAAACATCCTTGTTCCAATCTTTTTGTGCTCCCTTATACACAGCCCAACTGTGGCGGAGCTATAAGCAGGCCAGTCTGCAGAAGTTAACTTTTGCCTATAATGACTCGATGAGGATGCTGCTGAAGATCCCCAGACACAGTAGTGCGAGTCAGATGTTTGCTGAGTGCAGGGAGCGCTCCTTTCCTGCGTCACTGTTACTATCGGTTCATGTGTAGAGTGGTGAGGGTGCCTAATGCTATTGTACAGTCCCTGGTTTGTCCTTACATTAGCTCAGTCAGGTTCACTTCTATGCTTTGGAGTCACTGGCGTGCTTCTCTGTATGTGTGACTTGCTGTAAATATGTGATTACTTTGTGTGTGTGTTTTTTTTTTTTTTACTTTTCTTTCATTATTCTTAGCTATGGATCCTGTGCTTATGGAGTCCTTAATAAAGTCTAAATGAAAATAAATACATATTTAGTTATCTGTATAGACATGAAAATGAAGAGAACCGATGCTGCCTGTTATCTGTCTGCATTCACTTCTCACAGCAACAAGAACATGAAGAATGTTTTTGAGGGACTATTTCAATAATACAATGTGGGGTGGTTGTGGCTTATAATCAGGTGCAGCTTTGTCCGGAAAACATGTAACACCACATGTATTATATAATTTTTATATACAACATAAAAAATACAAAAATGTATGTGTAGTTATGTGTGTGTGTGTGTGTGTGTACAGCATTTTCTGGACCTGATTATAAGCCGCAACCACCCCACACTGTAATACTGAGAAAGTTCCCAGTGCAGTGTGAGACTCACCCTGGCTCCTGTAGGCCACTAGCAGAGGAGGGATGTAGGTCAGGCAGGTGCAGATGAGCGCAAACAGCGTGGCTTTCGCGCACACGCTGCTCCTGTAGCGCACTAAAGCAGGGTGACTATACACGTCATAAAACGCCATTGTATGGAGCTGCAGTTAGCGCCGACACATGCTAATGGCTAACACGTCCGATAAAGATGAATACAGACACAGTAATGTGAGAAGAACACAGTCCGAGGGGCCCCAGCCCGCAGCAAGGTCCTGTGGCTTCTCTTGCGGCTCCAAGCACACCACTAACTCCTGCTCACTGCTCACGTCCTGCACGGATCCGTAAAAGATCCATGCACTGCAACGGCGCCATGTTGGAGCGTCCCCGTTACCTTGGATACTACTGTGCGCATGCGTCCTGGGCAGAATGTGTGTCCTGTGACTGCTGTTATTGGTATTTCTATACATGCATTTGTGTATACGTCAAAATTCAATTCAATTCATTCTGGCATAGCCCTAAATCACAACAGTAGTTATCTTAGAAGACTTGAAAACCGTTGAAATCGCCAACAAAGATCAGAGAAATAAACAGTTCAAACACATAAGTATTGATCCATAGGAGCGAGTTGACCAAGGCCCACTGTGTTGGGGTGACAGTGACTCAGTTGATAGAGCATTGGCCTTTGAGCCTTTGAGCCTAAATGGAGCGTGTGTGGAAAATCAAGCACACAGAGATGGGATCAAGGCGCTCCAGCGCTAGGAAGTTTATTCTCTGTTTCTGTAGGTTCTTTCAGGTTTTTTCAGACAGAACATATTTAGGATATGGTTTATATAGTCAACGTTTACGTCACACATACGTTATACATGGAAAAGCATTCGTGTCACATCAAGAGAACAATCAGAACATAACAAGACATCGAAAGAACAAAACACGGACACACAATCGGGTCGTTGTGACCTAAGGCCAAATCACTTTATAGCTATCCAATTCCCATACGTGGAAGTAATGTTCACCGCATGCCTGCATGTTTAGTTTTGAATATGCGCTGGAAAACGGCAGCAAGTCATAAGTAGATTGGAAACAGTTGTTTTGTGCTTTACAATTTTTGTTTTTCTTGCTTTTTTCTACCCGAGATGTTACTGCAGGGGCAATAGTGGCTCAGGTATCATTGGCCTTTGAGCCAGAAGGTCGTAGGTTCGATCTTACCACAAGAACTTCTCCACTTATGTCTGCTGTCGTTGAGTCCTTGGGCACCCCACTTTCGCTAAAGCACTGAAAGATCAAGGCTCCTGTGGACTCACCACCAGCAGCAGGATCAGTGAGGGTTGGTGCTATGTGACCTGTCCTGCTCCACCCAGATTCTACTGGCTAGGTTTAAAACAGTCCTCTTTAGTTTAGCATATGGCTAGGAAGGTAAGACTCAGGGAAGGCTAAACTCCTCAGACTGTCAGTCAAGCTGCATAGGGAGTCAGTTTGCTGGGAGAAGTATGGTAACTTGAGCACTATCCTCTCCTCCTTCCTACTTTACCTGTTTAGCATTATTAGGATTTTGACTGTAGTTTGTTCATTGCTATTCACCCGTTGTCCCATTGTCTGTTTCATGGGACGATGACGGGATCTCTGAGCCTGGCCTCCTCCATCTACACCTGCGGACTGCCCCGCCCGACCCGCCTGGGAGTGCTTCAGTCCTGCACCGGACCTGTCCACGTTCAGCGACCACTGGTCCACGTTCTGTAGCTAGCTTAGGTCCTAGATCATTAGCCTGTCCGTCCGGAGGAGCGGATCCATTTCTCAAATGGGTCTCCCTCCCTGTGGGTTTCCCTAGTTCTCCCCAAGTTTTCTCACTTTTTCCCACTGGGTTTTTTTAAGGGTTTTTCCTTGTCGATGCAGGAGGGTCTTGTTGGACAGTTAGTGTCCAACAGAAAGGATTGGTGATGATCAGGACACTTTAACATTCTACAACATGTATGGACATTTTCTTCTGTGTGTGCTTTATGTTTGTCATGTGTTTTAACTGTTGATTCTCTGATCTGTGTTGGTGATTTCAATGGTTTTGTTAAGTCCTCTGAGATGACTTCTGTTGTGACTTAGGGCTATACAAGAATAAATTGTATTGTGTATAGTATTGTATTGTATCTCTGCTGCTATGACCTGAAGGGCTGTTGCTGATATTGTTAGCTTTTTAGAATGATAAATGCTATCTTTTTATTTTTGCAGCTACTGGACACCAGAATGTCTCCTACGAGATAGATAGATATCTATCTATCTATGCCTTGATGTGTGTATTCATGCAATTTCTTCCCCTTAATACACTTCTGGGTTTGACTGTAGTCTGTTCATTGCCATTCACCCGTTGTCCCATTGTCTGTTTTGTGGTGCGACGACGGGACCTCTGAACCTGGCCCCCTCCATTTACATCTGTGGACTGCCCCAGCTGACCCGTCTGGGAGTGCTTTAGTCCCGCACCGGACCTGCCCACGTTCTCAATCAATCAATCACATTTTATTTATAAAGCGCTCTTTATACAAAAAAAAATGCAACTCGAAGTGCTTCACAGTTTAGTTTCAAACAATCCAATATGCCCAGCCCTAAACCCCACCGCCCCACAGACCCACCCAAAACAACATTTATTATCACTCACAACAAAACAACTAAAAACCCAAATGTGCAAATAACTGAAAAACACTGGGCTAGGTTCCCCTCCCCTCAGGCGCGCAGCGGGAAAACTAAATATAAACTAAAAGATAAAAAATGATTTTTTTTCATTATAAAAATGCAGACTAAAACTACAGGAATCCCTAAAACACATTTACATGATTTTGAGCAGAAGCTGAATAAAATCAATTGGAAAAATGTTACAAAACAGTCCAACATAAATATAAGAGCAAATGCCTTCATGACCACATTGCAAGGTTTAATTAAAAAGTACCCTAAGACTTGGACAAACAGAGCAAAAAACAACTCACTCCCATGGTTTAATAATGACATATGGTATGCTCTTAAAAAATCCCCAAAAACTAAAAATGCAATTGATTATCTAGTACAGGCCTCAGAAATCAAGTTATTACTCAACTGCAAAGAGCCAAATCTAACTATTTAACTACAATCATTGAAGAGGCAAATGGAAGCAGTTCCAAACTTTGGCAACATATAAATGGCCTAACAAATCCAAGTAAGAAAAAACACACACAAATACAATCTCTTAAAGTAGGGAGGCATAATCAATGACAATCAGTCTAAGGGAGAAGCTCTGAACAATTTCTTTATTGGTTCTGTGCATGAACTTGCTAATAAATCTAATAATACACCTCCATGTACAGAAAACATACATCATGAAAACAGTGAACTCTTTTGCATAAAGGAGGTGTCTGGTGACAAAGTAAAAAAAATCATGATGAAGATGAGCCACTCGATGTCAAAAGACATCCATGATCTTAGCACAGCACTGCTTAAAAAACACAGAGATACTGTACTCTATTAGAGCCCATCACACATCTAGTAAATCTCTCAATCCGATCCAATACTGTACATTCCCAAATGGCTGGAAAATGGCTGTTGTGAAACCGATCCACAAGACAGGCGAAAAGGACATGCCCAACAACTACAGGCCTATTTCCATTCTTCCTGTTGTCTCTAAAATTGTGGAGAAGGTAGTTGCAGAACAACTTGTAGAACATATGGAGTCAAACCAGCTTCTCCATCCCCTACAGTTTGGGTTTAGACAGAGATACAGCACAGAAACAGCTAACTGTTACTTGTTGGAACAGATCGAGAAAAGTCTAGACAAAGGTCAAGTGGTTGGTGATGTGTTTGAGACCTTAAAAAGGCGTTTGATACTGTGGATCACAGTGTTTTATTGAAAAAACTGAAGCCTTTCAAATTGTCTGATCAATCTCAATCATGGTTTAAAACGTACCTTGAGGGCAGGCAGCAATGTGTAAAGGTCAATGGTGCTAAATCCAGCCTTCGCCCTAATGACACGGGAGTACCACAAGGTTCCGTATTAGGGCCACTGCTGTTTTCTATGTACATAAACGACCTCCCAACCTGTTGTCATGGTGTCAACTGCCAGCTCTATATGGATGAAACAGTTATTCATGTGCCGGCAAAGACCTCTGCTCTAGCTGGGCAGCAGTTGACTGAAGCCTTAGTAAATATTTCAACTTGGCTTCAACAATTGCAATTGACTTCAGGTCGAGATTTGGGAGGTCTGGCGTCTAACAGTTTTTATCCAATCATTACTCAGCATCATGTGTTGCTATGACCCAAAATCTGTCTGTAGGCCTACGATGCTGGCCCGCATTAGCTTAAAGCCCATATGTCATATTAGACCACTCTTTTCAGTAAGCATAGAGAACGGTACTGTAATTGTGATTCCAGGTAAAAAAAATATTTTATCGGCGCTAATTAGGAAGATACGAGACGTTTTGTGAGAAAAATCTACTTCCGCATTCTTAAACGCGCCACAAGGTGGTGACGTCACTCTAGGGGACGCGCTGTTCACTGTACTTTATCATAGCCTACTGGACATGATGGATTCACGATCACCATACAGCAGAATTTATGGTCCCCAAAAATAATTTTGATGGACCCCAACCATATAATTTTGAGCCAGTAAACAATAATGAAAGAGAAAGAGAAAGGCCAAGAATAAGAAATGATGGGCACAGGAGAGAAATTGAGCGTTGGTGTGAGGAGAATGAATGGAGAACAGGGCAGGTGTCTTGGTAAGCTAAGCTAAATACAAATTTGGTAACTATATTATGCAACTATTTTTACTTCAATTATAAATCCGTTATGAATTCTACATGTAGTTATTTATTGTCATAGCATCATAAAAGGATAGGAAGTAAGTGGCAATAAGTACATTTATCTTATAACAGTATGAATCCAAGTCCGTTTACTTAACATTAATTTGTAAGATTGGTGTTCATTTTACTGAATTATTTTACTTTCCCTCATAAATTAATACGCTGGTTTGAGTTCAAATAAGATAGGCCATTTCGTTGACTCAGTTTTGTACCGGTCTAAATGTCATTGGCAATGGCTTTTTTTTTATGCACAGTAATAGTTGAGCCATGAGTTGATGACTGTTAAGATCAATTGTTGACTGGTTTGGGTGGTCATTTGATAATTGTCTTTACGCTTTCACACAAGATTAGCCCACTCTTAGTTCCAAGTGTGTAGTTGGCGCATGACTTGGTGACACAATTACGCATTAAGTTGTTAAAGTACACACTGCCCCTCACTATTGCCATTTGTGACAGGTGTTTGTGTGGAAGATGCCAGCCAATAGGCCCTTTTCACGCAACGTCACGAATCCGCCATTGTACTTCCGTGCAGTGGATAACGACTTCCTGTCCGCGTTATACCTAATGGCATGGGATCGCGCTTTTCAGTCTGAAGTAAAATATCTCCAAGAAATTTACCGCAGACGTCAAGTGGAAGGTATGTAATCATTGACAACAAGTAAGACATTGCGTGGGGAGTAAAAAAATAAAAAAAAGCACCGAAGAATAACGGTGTGATGATAGAGAAGTGAGTTTGTCCAAAAGCTTGTAGCCAGTTGTAATGCTAACGACTGCTGATTTGGGAAGATTGATTCTAATGTGTTTGCTTACGTTATTAATTGATCTGTGTAACTATTGTTTGGTTTCCTAGTTATAGATCTGTAGATAGTGCTGCAATCTGTTAGCTTCCAAAGAATAGGCTATCTTAGCTCCAAATGCTAATGCAAATTAGCAACATGCTACTGAACCGTGAGAAACGCTTGACTATCCGAGGCTTTGGTGGGCAACACAAATGTATTAAATTGATAATATTAGTTCTATGGTGGGTCAAAACAATGTTCACAAACAGAGCATTGCTCCCCTTGTGCTGTAAAAGATCTGTGATTTAAATAAACAGCTCTTCACTGCTGGAAAAATCTGCTGTTTTGCCCACCTTTCACCAAAACATCACAAAAATAAACAATGATCCTCCCAATAACAGAGCTATACATTTTCTTGTTAAGTATACATTGTATGTTTTACTGTTCAGTACTTTATTTAGGCTTAAGTTTAATGTGCTAATTTCATTTTTTTTTTCTTTCTAGGATGGCCCAGTCATCACACAATGTTTTACAGAGTCCCTTCTCAACTTGCCTCAATTAACATTTGAGGACATACACAGGATCTGTGACACACATTCACTTACTAAAAGATCTAAAATGGACAAAGGTTATAAATTCTTCATCGAAGGATACATTTTCAACTACGAAGGCAAGTTTAAAATGATATGTTGGCAGACCAGTGTGTTTTCATTGCTTTAACTATAACAAGTAATATTGGTGTTACATTTGTTTTGTAAGTTTAATTAACACAAAAAATATGTTTTACTAATTATGCAAGAGCCTTAAGTGGGATTAGTATTACCCTCTTCATTCCAGTTGAAAGTGAGTAGTGTATTATCTAACATTTTTCCCATCAGTTTCAAATATAGTGCAGAGTGAGGTGACTGTCAGGGGAAGATGTCATAGGTCCATGAAGAAAAATGAGGAAGCGCATCATCTTCAGGTTCTATTTCAGCAATTGTGTAACGTTATGGATAGAGATCCAAGTCTCATTCATCTTTGTTGAAGTTGCTGTGTAGCAATAGAATGTGTTAGCTGCATGCCTGCATTGTGAATGACTCTGCATAATATATGCCTGTTTTAAGCTCCATAAAAGATTTTCTGTACAAATATAATTATTATTATACATTTTTTTTACAGATAACCTTCAATTTAAGTGATGTGCCGTTTACTGTGCAAGAAATTGTCTTGCTCTTGTGCTGCAGGAAGGGCCCTCTGCAACCACCTGGTTGCAGTGCTGTACCAAACGGCACACTACAGGTAATGATTGGAAAAATGAAGCCTTGTGAATGCATGGGGCTTCACAGCCTATTATGTCAGCAAATTATTCTAAACTGAAGCCTCATTCTATTCTGCCATCTGCTGATGATTTGAATGTATTACAATCAACAAAGTAATTAATTTTCGTTTTATTCCAAGGCCTTAGTTGAAATATTGTCCTTTCAAAGCTCTAGGCTCGTATAAATCCATGAATTGATTGTTTCCATTCATCAAGGCATTGGTCACATAATCTCATGGTTCAAATCATGTAACATAAAGGTTCATTTTTGAAACACTGAAGCGTTCTTCATTTGGCCCATTATTGACTATAGGGCCATGGGCTTTATAAGTGTGCCAGTCCCTTTATCCTGCACCAGTACACTGCAAAGGTGGCATCGGCCAAGGACCCAGGTAAAGTTTTTGTGTATAGTTTGTTTCTCTGGCTCTACTGTAAATGTAATGTAAATCTTTTCATTTTAGGGAATTGCACCAGAGTCTACAACCGACATGGTGGTAAAAAAATCCACAAAAACAACAACTAAATTTGTGAAATCGATTGTTTACAAGGCCTATTCCGGTAAGTTATTCATCTGAAAATGTTCTGATTTGTTCATTTCAACTTTTTTAGCAATACTTTGTGTACACACAGTGTTATTCCCCTGTACCATGCTGCTTTCCCCCTACGTTATGCAGGCTCATGTCAACCTACAGCTGCACGCCTCGATACATTTCTATAGATATTGACCTACTAACATCTGCTGTATATTGTGTTTGTGCTTTTCTCAGGTCCACTTCCAGATCCCCATATAATGTCCAGCATGAAGAAGCTTGAGAATGTGCGTCCCCAGCCCGGAATTTGCAAATTGCTTCATGGCCTGGACAGTCTCAAAATGGTGGACTCAAAGTTTGGCCCAGTTCCGTTTGGATCCGTTTTATCATATCAATTTCCACCTGATTCTGAAAGCAGAGACATTATAAAACATTCAAAAGCACAGGGTTTTCCTACTCTGCCTGTTGAAGGCTACGGTTTCAAAAATCCCTTCACATTTCAGCCCAACTATGTACAAAAATGTCACCTGGAAAGTTTGAAGGTGTCCACTCGCCTATCTGCAGCTATTGAAGAAGAGACAAGACAGCAATCACAGTGCCCTCTTTGGGGCCAGGTGAGGAGACCCAGACTGACAGCCAGCCGTTTCAGAGAAGTATGTTATGTACGCGGGGAGTCGTCATCAAAAAACCTTGCAGCACGAATAATCAAAGGAACGCCTCAAACTGCAGCAATGAAAAGAGGACTTGAACTGGAGCCTGAAATTCTAAATCAATATTCAGACTTGTGTGATGTTTCCGTCATGCAGTGTGGTGTTATAATTCATCCGGATGCACCCCATTTAGCCACCACTCCTGATGCAAAAGTTTTTGACCCAAAAGGATGTCCACCGTTTGGCCTTGCAGAGGTAAAGGCTTGTGATGTGGACAATGTGGAAGGAGTCAAACATCTCAAAACAATTAATGGCAAAGTCTGCCTGAAGAAGTCACATAAATATTATTATCAAGTCCAGGGTCAGCTTGCCATTACAGGGCCTCAGTGGTGTGACTTTATTACTGACACTAGAGGGGACATTACTGTGGAAAGGCTACACAGAGATGACGAGGTCATCCTGACCATGAGGCCTCAGCTGGATAATTACTATTATAACACATATATGGATGAGTTCATCCAGTCCAAACATTGAGTCTCCAATAATTTTATCCTGTGAGCTACTCCGTTTCAAAGATAACCTTTACTATTGCACTTAGGTCACGTTCACTTTGTAGTCAACTTTTAAAAACATGAGTTTCATTGCTATTTGTTTTTGTATGTTTATCGGATTAGAGGTACCTGTGTTACAGGGTTGTCAATTCAAGTCTACCCTTATATTGTTAAATAAAATGTGTTTTGAATATATTCAAGGGTGGTCTTTTACCATTATATACTCCAAAAAATGCTGTTAAAGTATAACAAATTCTAGCTCTAAAGACTTTTGTGTAGTACCTCATAAATGCACAAGAATGATAACTTCAATAATTTCATTATTCCATATTCTCTCAATAGGCTGTGTTCACGTGACATCACAACATTCTAAAGAGCCAATAGTTTAAAACTGAGGTGGAGTAACTGAAAATTCCATGATGGTAACTATGGTAACTGGCAAATTGCAGATTTTTTTTTGGTTGACATCGTTATTACAGGGAGAATCCACATGAAACCAAAACTGTTTAAGTTCATTGTGTTGTTCGTCAGCACATATTAACTAATGTCTAATTATTTGGCATCCAGAAGTGGAGACAATATTCAAAAAGTGATGTCCAGTAGAAAAGGCTTGCAGCCATAAAATGTATGTGGCAGATTTGTGAATCAAATCTTTTCTAACTACTAATGAAGTACAACATTTGTCAATTTTCTTTTTGGAGATTTTATTTACAAAAAATGCATTTCTCCCTTAAGAGTTGTTTTAGTCTCTGCTCTCCACCAGACATCAAATTCTAGAACATGAACGCAAACAAAAAATTAAATGGTCAGAAATATTCTTTACCATTTTACATATTTAAACAATATTGACACATTTCAAACGGGTTTGTCTTGTGAAACATCTAGAGGTCCCTGATAGTTGGACATAAGACAGCATACAGCCCACAACTGGTTGACAGAACCTGTCATTGAAAGCGGAATTGCTCCATCCCATATATGATATTCTTTGACCCGCCGTATTGCCCTTTCAACCACAATTCTCAGCCGGGCAATGGCCTGTGTCTTCAGAGTGTCCTCCAGGCTCAGCTGACGGGACCTCTTCAGTGGAGGAATGATTAGAGAGATACTCCAACTTCAGACATCTTCTCAATCAAGAATCCTTTATCCGCCATCACGCCATCACCAGGTCAAGTAATAGCAAAAGCTTTGATCGTTTGGTTATCTCTACATCTGAAATTGAGCCCGTGTATAATTTTGACACAAATGTTACATTGCCACAAGGATTAACCCCAATTACACCTTTAAACGTTGTGTAGTTTTTGTAACTTGAAAAGGTTTCAGACTGTAGTGTTAAGGAGGAAGCACTCTCACACCGGATTTCAGTACAGTCAATTATCACTCGCACATTTGGACAATAGATCTGAAACTTCTCAGGCATAGTGTTTTGCACTTGCTCTTTTGTCATCCATGTTGGCAGAGAACCCAGTACTTGAAAGAGATAGTTGGTCCACGTTATTATTATGCGACTCACTGTTGTAGACTGACATCAAAAATGCTAGACAGCATCTTCTCTTTAAGGCCAGCAGCAACCCGACAGAGAAACAGAAACAGCTCGTCAATAAGTGGAAGCTTTCGCTGTGAGCTTGGGGTTTCAATTGCAGATTGCTGAGCTTTTGTCCAGTATACAAGCCTTGAAGCAGAAGGGTAAACTGATTCCCAAAATATATCAAAAACCTCTTTGGAAGGAAATCGACAGAAAAACCGATAGTCCTCATCAGTCACACAAAATTTATAAATGAGAGGCTGCTGTTTTTTAATGGTCAGTTCCTGTATTTGATGTTCAAGCATTATCACCTGAAGCTCCAAGTCCTTTATTTTCCTTGCAGCTCCGTCTAGTTTACCTAAGATGACACATAAGAAATTACACAGCTCTACAATTCTACTTGGTTTGCATTTAGCTATCAATTTAAATATACTCACAAGGAGAAGGACACACAACGTAATCATGGTCCCCTGCAGCTTTAGTTTCTTGCCCTTGTGCGATGTCCTCTGTTCCGAGTGCTTCCACACACTCATTAGGTACTTCACGACAGAGACGTTTCGTTGGTCTTTGGTAGGCATTTCCTATATTGGTTTGAACAAGTAACCCATCATTCATCTATTTGAGTAATTTTCTGTCTAATGAATAGTATGTTCCAATATGGACAATATATTCAGAATTATCATACAGATCGACATTCTACAACACTGCTTATTTTACTTGTCAAGATGTTTCAAATTTTTAACCAGCTTTTTCATAATATGGCAATAAAAGGACAAAGTAAAAAATCTAAAGATTTGGTGGTGGTAAAAAAGGCAGGTAAAAAGGCAGTGTTGACTCAATGTAATCTCTTCCATTAGTAGGAAAATCCAATATCCCTTCTTACCCCAGTTATTCCATTGGAATCTGGAGGGAACCACATCTTTTTGGAGGACAGTCAGGCCACTTTTTGTTTTGTAGAGCTCTTCAGGTCTAAAATGAAAGCTGCACACATATGTGCTTCCACGTTGCACTTTAAAAGTAGGACCCTCATCCCTGCGAATTGCCCTGATCCACAGGGCACGTCTTGAAGTATCCTTCGGGAAATCATGGTAACTCATGTATGGATGAGACTGTTTGTTGTTTGAGCAACCAGGAACACAGCAGTGACATCGTCTTAATGACTGGGCCATCCTGTAACAATAAAAATAAAAAAGCACAGAGAAAATTGAAATTAGAACATTTGACTTGAATTTTAATCAACTTTTAGGAGGGATATAGGTGTACAGTTTTTACTCTTTAAGGTGTTAATTTCAAGCCTATGTAATGTACTGAACAGTAAAACATACAATGTATACTTAACAAGAAAATGTATAGCTCTGTTATTGGGAGGATCATTGTTTATTTTTGTGATGTTTTGGTGAAAGGTGGGCAAACAGCAGATTTTTCCAGCAGTGAAGAGCTGTTTATTTAAATCACAGATCTTTTACAGCACAAGGGGAGCAATGCTCTGTTTGTGAACATTGTTTTGACCCACCATAGAACTAATATTATCAATTTAATACATTTGTGTTGCCCACCAAAGCCTCGGATAGTCAAGCGTTTCTCACGGTTCAGTAGCATGTTGCTAATTTGCATTAGCATTTGGAGCTAAGATAGCCTATTCTTTGGAAGCTAACAGATTGCAGCACTATCTACAGATCTATAACTAGGAAACCAAACAATAGTTACACAGATCAATTAATAACGTAAGCAAACACATTAGAATCAATCTTCCCAAATCAGCAGTCGTTAGCATTACAACTGGCTACAAGCTTTTGGACAAACTCACTTCTCTATCATCACACCGTTATTCTTCGGTGCTTTTTTTTTATTTTTTTACTCCCCACGCAATGTCTTACTTGTTGTCAATGATTACATACCTTCCACTTGACGTCTGCGGTAAATTTCCTGGAGATATTTTACTTCAGACTGAAAAGCGCGATCCCATGCCATTAGGTATAACGCGGACAGGAAGTCGTTATCCACTGCACGGAAGTACAATGGCGGATTCGTGACGTCAGCGTGAAAAGGGCCTATGGCCAGTGCTGAGGAGAGCATGTGTTGCAGGGAGGTTGGTGCCTTCTGGGCCCTGGTGGAGGGCATCAATCCACCAACAACCATTCCTTGCTTAACCTTACATCCTGGTTTTGAGGGATGCTGCCTAAACCCATATGTGCTTCAGATAGCATACCTTACCTTCAGGCAGGAGTTTGGTCCTCTTAGAGCCATAAGACACGAGTAAGCTTTGTTGCATCATACTGTATATTCATTAAAACTGAATTGGTAATGGTAAAATATCTGTCTCCAGGCAAATCCGTTACACCGCTTATCGCCAGGTCGTCCGCTGGGCATATGGCATTCTGGGCAGACACATTAGGAAGCCTATTCCGTCCTGTGTGGTCTCAATCATAAGAGAGTATTTTCCAGAGGGAGGGGAGTACAAAGGCTTTCAGTGGCCAAATTCGGAGGACAATCAATAAATATTAAATAATGAATGATAATGAATGTGTCATGTATTATTTTATTTACAAAGAAAGTAACATCCAAAATAATTATATAATTAATTAATAATAGAGCACAGAGTCAGAGAGGAGCGGCCGCCAGAGCAGACAGGCCCCTGCCCTAAACCCCAACGCGACCCTGTGTCACTCTCGTCACCTGGCATTAAACCTTGAATGCCGTGCAAGGTACTGATGAACCGCCTCATCCTTGGAAACCTTTTGGAAGGATGCCGTGAGGGGTTGAGGTGCACATGACGCGAGGGCTGCGCTCTTCCCCTTCAACCTAGATGGAGACCTGCTGTAGGTTTGTTGGAGGGACACCATGAGAGCTACAGCATAGTCTATTAGAAGGAAAATGTTGATATTATACTTTTAAAACCTTATGAATACTATTCTATTAAGTAAAAGGCACAAACCGTATGAAGGACTCTCCTTGATCGGACGGATTACCCAATCGCCTTTGCGGAATCTGGGGTACCTTACAGCGAAACTGACCTCACCAGCAATGGTCCGATGTAACTTCCGACTGCTGTTGTGATTGAAGTGAAGGGCAGCCAAAAGAAGCCTAAAAAGGAGAGTAGCAGAGCAAAATGCAGTGTTATACAAATAGTATGAATAAAGCAATATTTTTTTCTTTGGGTGTTAGATTTATTCAGTAGTTATAGTAGTAGTAGAAAATGTATTCCCCTTGAGGAAATACATTCACAGTGAGTAAAAAAAATACACAAAGACAACAAACAGGTCCAAACATTAACATGCAAAGAACAGGCCTAAACTTAAACCACACCACATCAACCTCAATATTTAAATTATGTTTTGATTCTTATCTACGTTCTTAAATAGCCTTTTTAGTCAAAAGAATATTTACATTGTATTAAATATACTACTTCAACATAACTTGACCGAAAAGGTATAAAAGATACGCTTATATTTTTTAAGTCTTTCTTATTCAGATTTAGAGTTACTTCACAAACCAATCCAAATAAATGTAATCAGGTGTGGTCTGCCAGTGTTTTTGGCAGCCCTCTTCGTCTTTGTTTTTTGGAAGCTTGAATGCTTTTAGTTTTAGTCACATTTTAGTCAGATGAAAAATAGAAAAGTCTTAGTCAGTTTCATTATAAAAAAGTAATAATTTTGATACAATTTGGAAAATGGGATAAATTATAATAAATCTACTGGCCTTGTATAGCTTTTGACAAACAGATTACACCACAATAGGCCCTGGCAGAATTTGCCAGGGAATTTGGCTCTCCTTGTCCTCTGATCATTGCTTTGAGATTTTTTTTTAACCAACAGCACTGTGTGCACATTTGTTCATCAACATGCTTTCTGCGTGTACACGCTACAGTATTTAAAACTGTCCTAACGATAAAGTCCCTGTGACATTGCTGTCAGACATGCTCCATGCAGGACATACTGTACATGGATAGTAGAGGAGCACAAGGAGAGAGGGAGAGAAGGGAAGAGGTGCAGCTGCAGAGTGTGAGTCCACGTGAGCTGACTCTGTGTGACGTGTAGCAATGCGTTCTCATGCTCGTAAACTTTATGCATTATGTTATCGTCATAAAGGCGTGAACAAATTGATATCATTATTGTCTGTTGACAATAACAACACTGTGGTCTGCACTAAAAAAAGTATTTTGTAAAAAATACAAAACACAACATGTACCTGCTATGCATGCCAAGATAGGAGAATCCTGTGTGTTTGGGAGTAAAGTGGAGAATCAGCGAGTGAAAGGCCTCCAGCGAAAATGTTTGATGTTGTGGGGATAGTTGCCGGATGTCCTTCAAAAATGTATTCCTCGTGGCCAGACTCTCCAGCTTAATTGCTGCCATGGATCCTGGAATGAAGAATTTAATTCAGCTTTACATATTCAAATGAAGAGCATCCTCCATACAATTCATTTCGTAAATGGTCCAATCTGTCGTCCTTTACTACATCGAATAACCAAAGCAAGACTATTACATTTACAATCTTTACTTTTCTTTTTTTTACTGTCAATTGTGCTTTCCTGTCCCAAGATCAGGGCACCCCCCACCCACTGCCCAATACCTCCCAGGTGCATCTTATTGGCCTTTTCCGTAGTCTGCCTTTCAACACTCTGGCCATTCCTCTCTTTACCACCAGATGACTGCAAATAATAATATTCTTTGCTCTATTTACAATCATCAGAGCAGTCTTCTGCCACATATGTTTTTCATAACATGTTAAATAAGATTGGGGCAAGTAATCTTAATTTTTGTTATAATATTCCTTCTATGCTTTCTCACCTGGTTCCAGCCACTGTTTGTTTCTGGCCTCTCCTTCCAGGTTAGGATGAGCACAGACAGGAAACCACAAGCTCTCATGGCTGTGAATGTCCTGTACATGGTTGACAAGGCTTGCCCATTTCGCTTCCATTACATCTGGATTGCCATCAGGTGTCGATGCGGCAGTCCAGTATAGATGGTTTATGATGGCAGATTTCCAAAGATTCAGTTCCTCACAATGCCGCTCCTTTGTGGCTGAATCCAAAGCCTTCTTCAGGCCTGTAGTTACACAAATACAAAACTATATCATAAAGAATTGAGAGAATACTTGATACTTCGTTTGCTTGAACTTTACACCGTCTTATTTACTGTTTTATTTTATTGCCTTAATGTTTAGTGCAGCTCTGTGGAGGCAACTCCAGTTGTGATATTGGGCTATAGAAAACCATTGATTGACAGAATGTGTGAGGATAGGAATGAGTCAGTGTTGGAAATCTTGCCTTTACTAACGTGCCAAATGTCAAAAAAGTGCTTGGTCCCACGTGGACATAGCTTCTCACGCACCCATTTGGCAACCTACAAGTGACACAAAATGTACACACAATATAATTAAACATAATAAAATCTATGCTTATGCCTCATCCATTATTCATCCATACCTGACGATTTCGATCTGTTATAAGTGTAGAAACGTGCAGTTTCTGCTCCGTAAGAAAGGTGACGCTACGTCTCAGTCCCTCAAGCTCGCACCAATTGCTATTCGGAACCTCTGAGCTCTTTGACAGCATTTTAAAGAAACACACACAATTATTATCCCATACACCAACCTTTGACTAAAAATCAGGTTAATGAGCTTCCTCTCAAATAAACCTACTTGCACAAGTTGAAGATCTAACACTTTGTTCAGCCTCTCTTCAATAACAGTGTAGGTGCCATATTTTGCACAGTGTCCCGGAGAGTCAGATCTGTAAAAAAAAAAGATCTTATGTTAAAAAATAAAAACGCTGTGCAAGTCTAACTTTTTACAGTAAAAAAAATAAAAAATATTTACACTTTTTATATGTACCTGCAGTCACCAGACAGAATAAGTCAACCATTTATCTCCTTGAGCTGCTCCAGGACACTAACTTGTTCAGACCTCCAGGCATCTACAATACAGGGGATTGTATAGAGTTGCTGGTGTCTGAAGTATGTCCTTGCGCTTATACACTGGAGCCCAAATAAATGTAACATTCTAAGTGTCTGCGTAGGCATACAGCCGGAGAAATGAATGGCCCCACTAAGCAGCAAATTGCAGGCTGGCATGTTTCTGTGCATCTTCGGTTGGTTCTGCCATTTTCGCTCAAAGCCACATAGTGAGCAACACTAAGAAAAATAAATGGTATGTTTACTAAACACATCTGAATGCAGTGACATTGTGCTCTAAAAGTTATAAGAATGAAAGTATTCTTTAGTGTAATGAAAGCTTTCATATATTATGCCTTTACAACCTACAAATATCCTCTTGCCTGCTTTATTTTTATGAACGTCCCCTCTTGCCGCTGTATTACACCTGGAGCTTCTTCAAAACAAGCTGGGCAGTTGGTGAATAGGGACATCAACTGGTCTTTGCAGACAATAAATTTGTCAGCAGACCTACCAAGAGAAAGATCATTGTCTATTAATTGTATATTAATTTTTGACTGTCTGAGCCTGAACCAAATTTTATCTTACTTGGAGTTCTCTGTCATCCTCTTGTTGTGCTTCTTGAGAGTCCTCCATTTCAGACATCTCACTTTCAATGTCTTCATCATCCTCTATGCACCAAGAACTATCACACTGTTGGTTGAAGTCTGACGATTGGTCATCGGTGTCATCCAAAATCCGCTTCAGCGGTGTTGATGTTAGAGGGTTGTAGTCTTCTGTTTGAGTACCCACACTTGTCATTTTTGGTTGAACCTGAACAGCTAAAATAAAGAGGCAGAGAAATTGAATAATAATATGTGTATTGCCCAAATGAATTTATTTGAGCAAGAGAAAGGCACAGAACATCACGTGTACGAGATCACATAAAAAGAGTGCCAAGTTGCTTTAGTTACCTTGAATCTATGGTCATATATAACAATTAGTCATTGGTGAGTATTACCTGATGATTGGTGTGATGGTGTAACGTTACACTGCAAGATCCGATCTACAGTGTGCGGCAGAGGATCAAAAGAAGTATGGGCCTCTTGCTCCTGGTCAGGAGCAGTGTGTGGTCCAGATGCAGCTTCACTTACTGCCGGATTATTGTCTCTCAGAATCTGAAACACAAGGAATTTTGTGAACCTAAGCAAAATTTAAATGGCTATATTTTCTTGCTGTGTGATACTTTTTACTAAATATTTGCATTATAAGATGACAGACCAGCAAGCTATAGGCTCATTGACTATACTGGATGCACATTTTGGCTGGCAACTGTGACAATGCCAAAGGCAAGGTAGACCGAGCACTTTTTTACAAACCAAAACGCCACGGAGTGCTACATAAATATTGTAGACCAAGTAACTCGCTCATTCTCCACATAATATGACATTTTTCATCCACCAGCATATAAAACTGATTACTTTGAAATTCAATGCAGCATGTTAACTGATATAGTATTGCCTGCCAGTGTTGCCAACTCCTCAGTAAGGAAAGTAGCTATTGGCTGTCCCCAAAGTCACTAGAAGTCGCTAAATGACGTCATCGCCTAATTTGCATAATTTGCCATTTGGGAGAGACAAAAGTGAGTAAAAACACCCTAAATATGTTTAGAACTACAAATGTACAAAAATAATTTCAACATTAACAACATTTAATGATTTTAATGCTTTGTCTAGATCCACATTACACACATCAGTTTTGTCCTGTATTGTTAAATGTTATAACAGCAAATGTAATCAAAAGATTGTTATGTAGGGTGAAATTGCTAGCTCTACAACCAACCCTCCTCCTTTATCCGGGCTTGGGACCGGCAAAGTGACCCAAAAGACACACTCTGGCAGAGTTACTTAGGTTTATTTTTGTAAGTTTTTTTTTTTTTCATAGTTTGGCAACAAATGATTTAATGTGACCCACTACTGAGAGAAAACAGAGTCACGGACAGAGCTGCCGCGGATGGAGTGGGGGGTAGTGGGGGGTGGCGGTGGTAGGAGTGGCCGGGGAGCTTTGGATGTGTGGTGGTGGTGGAGCTGAAGTTCAGTCTGCAGCAGCCTGAAAACTTCCTGTGCTTTTGAGTCTCCTCTCTCTCTCTCTGCTCCGCCCATAGACTGTAGCTGGGACTGCTGCGCAAGGCTACTGTGAGACTGGCCGCCTGTAAGTGCTTTGGGACGGGGGAGGGGCTCACGTTGAGGACAGCAGAACAATACGTGCTTCACGAGTCTCCAAAACACCAGATAAGTCGCCAAAACACCAGATAAGTCGCCAATAACACCAGAAAAAGTCGCTAGATTTGTCGCTAGTCGCTTTTTTGAAAAAAAGTCGCTATAGGGGTCTGAAAAGTCGCTAAATCTAGCGACAAAGTCGCTAAGTTGGCAACACTGTTGCCTGCTCACAGAACCTGAGATAATATCGTGTGAAAGGGTAGAAGACACACAAACCAAGCAACCAATGTTGTAATAGCTTATGGGAGCTGGCCGGGCTGCGAGATGCATGTAACCATGAATGTCTAATTCAACGGTTGTGCCATAATGCCATTGCACACTGGTCAGTCGACCTCTCAAAAGTGTGTCCTTGCAAAAGTTGAGAGCAAAAAAAAAGGATCCAATTAAAAAAGTGATAACACAAAGATAACCGTGGCCAACACTGCTGGTCGCTCTGTAAACAGCTGGTTGTTGCGCACAAAAGGTTGTCTTGCCAAAAAATAAAGGTCGGGCATTATAAATATGACTCTTTAGAGTAGCGGGTTTTAAAAACAGACTTAATTTAAGACATAACCCCGATTCATATTCACAAGACAACCATGACTAAACAATTTGCTAATCAAAACGCACTTGCTAGCCGCTAATAGGCCTATAGCAACTACGATCAACACTATAAAAATGAAGAAAGCATAAGATATGGTGACTGTACAGATCACTTATCGAGCCAAGAGGTAAAAGCAGTACTTACTGTAGAGAGCCAACGCTTATCAGCTGCAGATGTGCTTCTTCTCTGATTAGCAGGACTAGCAACATTAGCGCCGTTAGCAGACAGACAGGCTGCATGAAGAGAGGGAACTGCGCCACCAACCAGCTTCACTTGGCTGGAGGTTTTGAAGCCCATCTCCATTGCCATCCGATCACTGCCACATAATCCTCCTGTTTGAAGTGTGCCCCACAAATCATTGTATTTCTGGTCACAGACGCCGAAGTAAAGTCTTTCCTCTTCGCCTGAACAAAGCGCACCCAGGCACGGAAGGTAGCGGCACTTTTTTTCTTGTGAGGAAAAAAATGCATTCGATGACCAGAATTACTACTGTTAGAACAGCCCCCGCATGCACAGTAATTCACCATTTTGGGGGAAAAAGAAGCTAAATTAATTTTACAATAAAATCTTTCGATTCTTGGCGGGCAGCAACCGGCAACCGAGAGCAAAATCAGCAAAGATGTTCAGTAAGTAACGCGCCAAGTCCAATGGCCAAGTCCTACAAGCCCCACAGGTACGTCACGTGCACGTGACTAACAACTGCGGAAGTCTATCCACTGAAGGTTACATTTTCGCATATTTTGCTTTACAAACACCGTTTATGGTACTTTAAAAAATATTTCACTGTTACTCTCGGGCAATAAGAAAATGGATTAAACACAAATTTCATATTATTTTTAATCTGACATATGCACTTTAAAGTCAATAAAAACGAACCCGGGGCATTAACCCAGTGTCAAGTAGCGTGTCTTCTGATCGGATACATGAGACGTCAATTCATTTCATTTTAAACATGTCAGCCCCTTGTTATAGAGATGCCTCACGGATATGTTTTGTTTTTCTTCAGATTTTGGCCTAGTTATCCTTATGAAAATGTAGCACAGCTGGCAATAATACAGCAGAATTTGTATGAGTTTGTTGTTAGCATCTATGCTACTTTCTCAATAATGCTAACGTTAACATTGTTTCCCAATGGTGTTTTGGTTGTAATTGTCATGTAGTACAGAAGTACTTAGTTGACAAAATAGTCCTCGTTTTTTATAGTTTATTACGTTTGGACGCTAACGCACAGAGTAGTTGCTGAAAAAGCACTTGCTAACACAGTATATCTCTCTCTCTCTGTTTCTGTCTCTCTATCTTATTCTAATAAACCTAATTCTCACCAGTATAGATTTGACGATCCTCCCCTTCGGGCCACCTAACCTTCAGGGCCACCACCTCTTCGTGACCACCCCTCCTTCAGGGCTATACTCACCTAGCGTTGCGGGCTGTCATCTCTGTGGCCCTTAGTGACCTCCACGGCTAACCAGAGCAACACTACAATTACCACTTGGAAAATTGTGCTCCCTGACAGACTGGTAATGTTGGTCCCTTCTCCTGCCACTAGGAAGCTTTATGCTGCGGCTGCTTTCTCCCTGGTTACTGTCAGTTACTTTTTGGGATTATTGTCCTTCTGTATATTTTAATGTACAGTGCCTTGCGAAAGTATTCGGCCCCCTTGAACCTTTCAACATTTCGCCACATTTCAGGCTTCAAACATAAAGATATAATATTTACATTTTTTGTCATGAATCAACAACAAGTGGGACCCAATCGTGAAGTGGAACGAAATTTATTGGATAATTTAAACTTTTTTAACAAATAAAAAACTGAAAAGTGGGGCGTGCAATATTATTCGGCCCCTTCACTCCAGAAGTTCAGTGAGGATCTTTGAATGATCCAATGTTGTCCTAAATGACTGATGATGATAAATAGAATGCACCTGTGTGTAATCAAGTCTCCGTATAAATGCACCTGCTCTTTGATAGTCTCAGGGTTCTGTTTAAAGCGCAGAGAGAACCATGAAGACAAAGGAACACACCAGGCAGGTCCGAGATACTGTTGTGGAGAAGTTTAAAGTCGGATTTGGATACAAAAAGATTTCCCAAGCTTTAAACATCTCAAGGAGCACTGTGCAAGCAGTTATATTGAAATGGAAGGAGTATCAGACCACTGCAAATCTACCAAGACCCGGCCGTCCCTCCAAACTTTCATCTCAAACAAGGAGAAGACTGATCAGAGATGCAGCCAAGAGGCCCATGATCACTCTGGATGAACTGCAGATAACTACAGCTGAGGTGGGAGAGTCTGTCCATAGGACAACACAACAGGAGTTGTGTGGTCCTCTTTTTATTTTTTTTGTTTTATTTTTCATTATTATATACATTTATGTATTATATATATACACACCTCACTACCTCACTCACAAACTTAATCATCAAGACAACTCCCGAGCTTGTTGGAATGTTTTAAGACGGGACGTCTTAAGACGCATTTTTACTTTCTAGCTTTTAACACCGGGTGAGTCGTGTGGTCCTCTTTTTGTTTGTTTGTTTTATTTGTTTCATTTTTTTATTTTTTTATTGGATAACTAGAATTTTATCATTTTTATCACATGTTAATAGTTACTAACTAGTAACTTGTTTTATTAAATGTGCTATATAAATAAAGTGGATTGGATTGTAAGACAAACCGAAAAGCTTCCTTACTCTCTGAAGCGAAGTTAATATCTAATTGAAGAGTTGTTTGATGTATTTATTGATGAAACAGGACTCATGCATGAGCCCTCTTGCATCAATGTTTTCACGTATATGGTGTTAAGGCCTGGATAAAATGTTAATGAAACATACTGTATGTGTCCTAATCAATAAAATGTATTTCAAAACCAAGTCTATACATTTTTACAAAATAACAGAATTAGTTTTGAAAAGGGGTTGGATGAAGCGACCACTTGTAAACTTCCGCCTCCCTCATCCATTCACTACAAAAGTAAGACGACTTGGAATGAGAATGTTGAGGAAAATCAAACACTACTGCTTTTGAAATAATTTCAAAAGCAATGTAGTAGCAAACGTTCACTCTCTAAGACAGCGATCTCAAACCTTTTTAGTGCCACGGACTGGTTTAACATCAAACTACAACTGCACAGACCGGCACCCGAACGCACCCACCCCTCTCACCATTTACATTAACAGTAAAGGTAAAATGGGATCTTCCTGACTTCTTTTGTAAGAGCTTCCATGTCAGCAGCCGGATCAGCACACATATCCAGGATGTGAGGCCTTATGTTGTGGACAGGTAATTAATCTCCCTGTGAAGGCCGCACCCTAAGTAAGTAAGTAATGTTTATTTATATACCGCCAGAGTCACAAAGCGGTTTACAATTGTTATTGTAACCCTGCCCTCTCCAGCTCAGTGTCTCAGCACACCACATTGTTAGAGAATAATAAACGTTCTAATCTACAGTCAGTATCTGAACCTTTCACAAATAACAATGAAGCTGCAAAGAGCCCATCCTACTTAATTGTACTCATTTTTCTCATAAGGAAGCATAACTTACTTGTTCATATGGATACATGTGTATGGAGGACCAAAACTAATAAAAAAAAAATACATATATTTTAATACAAAATATATAAATAAATGTTCAATGAATTGTTATATATAATAATATACACTCACCGGCCACTTTATTAGGTACACCTATCCAGCTCAACTTTAACGCAAATTCTTAATCAGCCAATCAAATGGCAGACAACATGGTAGACATGGTCAACTGCATGGTCGAGACTGCAAGGTCTGATGCTCTGACTCAACCAAGCATCAGAAAGGGAAAGAAAGGTGATTTAAGTGACTTTGAACGTGGCATGGTTGTTGGTGCTAGACAAGCTGGTCTGAGTATTTCAGAAACTTCTGATCTACTAAGATTTTCATAAACCTGCAGTTTTCATAAAGATCGGATTTTGTGGGGATTTTAGTGTCCCTTGCCATCCTGAACGTTTTTTCTTCTTAAATCATTCGGTTTTCTTTAAATCCACACTTTACTGCCACAAACTCTTCTGTTTTCCTTCCCGCTCTGGCTCCGCTCTACCGCTGCTCTGATCAGAAGCTCTGATTGGTCAGAGCAGGGGCGAGCCCCTCTGTGCACGTGCATGAGAGCCAGACATGCGTATTTGGCGCAACGGATCATGGGAGATAATCCACTGCGCAGAACCTGAGGACCAGACGATGCCCAAATATAGGCGAGTTCTGCTAATATGTCAGCGCCAGTGAAGTCCCATGCTCTACTGTTTAGTGACTTGTGTCCGTGGATCAATTCATAAAAGCAGGCTGTTCTGACCCGGGTAAACCCTCAATACGGGCATCAGCTCCATGGCGCTCTCCTCAGCGGCTCACCTGAAAGAATGGCCAGCATCCATTCATTAGGTGGTGCTATATTTATGTCAATAACAGTAAGTCACAGAATACCAAGATTACAATAATTAACACTATAAATGACAATAAACCAAAATTAAGAGACTATATACCTATAGTATAAGTGCAATAGAAGCTGTTGTGTGTGTGTACGTGCGTTTATGTGTTTGTGCATTTGTATGGTTACAGTGTCATTTTGTTTAGTGCAGTGGCAATAACCGGACTTTGCCGCTGGCTTCGATGGAAACTGATAGTGGAATTGTAGTTGGGTTTTCATTAAAGTGAAAGTGAATATAATCTAGTCTAGACAGCTTTGGGTTGACCTACAGTACATCCGAGTGTGTGAAGTCTACAACTGAGGTGTTGAAACCAAGTGAATTATTATCCGCATTGTCCACATTCGGGTCTTTTGTGCAACTATGTGGCAAGACGTTGTCCAAAAAGTGGTTAATGTGTAACTTCACCTAGTTTTGGGGCTTTTCCATGTGTGAAGGTGTGTTATCTGCTTTGAAATAAAAAGCTGCCTGCAGAGCAAACGGGTTAGGACTTGGTTTTGGGCTGCAGAGGACACAGATGCCTCCTCACCGCCATAAAACCATCTCCTCCTTGTTGCATGCAAGTATTGTATTACCTTGTCTGTTGCGTGCTTTTGTCAAGGTACTGTAGTTTAGAACTAGCTTTAACAGTAAATTTTGAAAGAGACACCCACAGATCGCTGCTGCGCCTGCTATTGATGGGTTAATATGTCAATGAGTTTTATCATTATATATATATTCCCACTTCTGCACCTTCTCCATCAACTCCCACTGATGACTGCTGTCGTTGTGTCCTTGGGCAAGACACTTAACCCCACTTTGCCCAAAAAGCCCCCACTGAAAGATCAAGGCTATGCTCACACTCAGAGAGCAGCC